AGATTCGTTTCTAATTGGCTTGGCAATGGAGTTCTTACATGTGTGAGGGGTTTATGATTTAAGTATTTAAGCACTATTTAATACAACAATCAACATGGTGGTATCACTGGTTTTCTCTGAAATTAGCTCTTAACTCAAAAAAGCTCTCCATGTACGGGCCGGAATAGAGGGGATATCCTACGTTCCGTTGAGAGTCCACGCCTATTCGTCTGGTCAAACTCTCCATGCACAGATAGGGATCAAATATATTAACAGGGTTGCCAGTTTACCGGGGACTCCAAGACTGGAATCATGGCAACAACCCTGCAATAGTATTTGATTCCTATCCGTGCTTGGAGAGTTTGACCAGATGTAGAGGTTGCAATGTCGCAAATGCGCAACAGATAGGTGAGAAGGAAATTTTCGATTCCAAAGCGGCTCGAAAAAAATAAGGTGAGTCAAAAAATAACAAAAAAATCCGGTCCAAACTGTATGTAACGAGGTGGTAAAATAGTGCTGGGTTCACACTATTTTGTGAGAAATTGCAAGGCCAAAAAGTTCAAGCAGAGCAGGGCCGTATTTACCTACTTGCCGCCCACAGGCCGCCTGAATTTTGCCGCCCCCTTCTCAGTCGTTTTGAAAGATCAATAAAAACCATCAAGTGAACGTGCCGGAGGGAGAAGGGTGCATGGGACGCGTTTACCTACTTGTGTTGGATACATTTTCTGCAAAAGCCCTGTCAACACTACTAGCAGAATTTCACGGAACTTTGCGCGAAAGTTAAGTTCCGCAAACCTATCTCTGAGATAATTGTATATATTTCCTCCTAGGAAGGTTACAATAAATAAACTCTTTAAAAAAATAAAAAAAAAAATAAAAAACCTATCTCTGTGTGGACAGGGTCCTCCATTTATAAGAGATGAACCAAAAAATTATGGAAGAAAAAACATAAATGGAGTCTAATAATTTTAACTTCCGCCGCTGCGCCGCGCTGATCGCACTGTGTTTGGCGCAATGCGTAAGGTATCCCTGCACTCTTGTAGGCGCTATGCGTTTCACGCCAACCGCTCCTGACCGCACTGCGCTTGGCGCAATGGGTGAAGTATTCATGCAGTCTTGTAGGCGCTGATATGCGTTACATGCCGACGGCCGCGCCGAGGGCTTGTCCTTTTCATCTCAAGTCCTCGTCATCATTCCTCTCTGAGCTGAGCTCCAGGCCAAATTGCGTGTTTAGTTCCTCTCTTAACTCAACTAATTAAAGATGCTGTCTCTTGTATCACCGAAAAACGACAAAATTAGAAATTACTATACTCTCAGGAAAGAGAGATTATGTCCCCTTTTATGCGCCAGAACGAATGTATCTTAAAACAGAATTTTGTGTCTACGCTCTTCCTGAAAGGCGCTCCAGTCTGCCGTGCTAAGTAAGAACGCCGTAAATCCATCAAAATTTTCCCTCGTTTTTTGGAACTTAACACATCATAAAATAAAAACTGTTTCACCCATGCACCTCAAATTTTCAGGTAAAGTTCTTGACAGTATTTGCGAAAGAATCCTGTAAACACACTGTCCCAAGGTACACAAGTTTTTCTGCTATGATACATTGTTTCCAAAAAATGTATAATGGCGTTTACGGCGATTTTGCATTGCACGGCACAGTGGATCGAGTCAATTAGAGAGGTCGGACATGACATTTTTCACTAAAACTGCAAATTTTGATGTTTTCCCGTCACATTTTAAATGTCGAGGGGTGCTTCTAGTAAACAATATCACGAGGAAACCAATTGAACCACCTTTAGAAGCTCAAAGTTTTGTATAAACGGAGTTATAAGCGTTTAAAGTTTCCAAATTGTGTCCGACCCCTCCTATTGACTCGATCCACCGTGCGGCAGTGGTGGCCCTGGACAATGCACCCCTCGTGCCGAGATAGCAACTTTCGAGAGCGTGCTTTCGTGGATCACAACTTGCTCACGAAGCGCCCACGGGTGTAGTGGAAGTGAATCGAAGCAGGGCNGGGGGGGGGGGATGGGTGTGACCCAAATCCCGGCGGGCGAAAGCTGGCGGCTGTGTCGGTGTCAGAGTCGGCGGCGGTCACTCGTGCAAGGCAAGGGCATTGGGCATCGGCGACGATGGAGTCGAAACCGGTGCGAACCCGGGCTGAGGCCGGGATGGCATGGCATGGCATGGCATGGGATGGAAAGTCGTGTGAAGGAGAGTGCGACACCGGCGTCGGCCAGGAACGGACGAAGCGAACGGGCAACGGGGTCGGACCCGGGAACGGCACTCTCGACAAGGGAACGCCACGACCGTTGACCACACGACACGACACACGCCGAGACACGGCTACACCGCTACGCGCTACACCCTCCCCGTCTACCCTAGGGTCCTATTCAGAGTCACAAACTCATTGCGGTAGACGCACGAGTCGTAAGACAGTAAGTTGGAATTTTTTAGCCAACGTTTCTTCAAAATCCAGAAAACTGGAAATCTCAATACCGAGGGAAAAAGCTCCTATGAGCACAATTTCCCCTCAAAGAGATACGCTGTTTGGTATGCAACAGTAGTTACGACCATTCGGGGAGCCAACTGCACACGCGTTTCGGTTCTAATTAGATCCATCCTCGGCGCAGCCTCCTGAATTTTCTGCTATTTTGTATGCTATTTTTGCACGTTCTGTATTTTTCTGGATTTTTAACGCACGTTGGCTGAAAAATTCCAACTGGCTATTTATAGTCAGTTCATCGTTCTCCTCCTTAGTCTATAAGAGCCACCCCTTTCAACCGACTGAATTCCGACTTTGCTTGATTTTTCTTTTGTGCTCTTTGTCTAACGCTCCGTCCATAGATCTCAATAGTCAGCCCACGGTTCAGGATTCTATTCATAGTTAGACCATCATGTTTCTCCCTGATCTATGAGAGCCACTCCTTTTAACTTATAAGATTGCTCAATTTTCCTATTACTGTCTATAGCTCTGTCAATCAATCTCAATAATTAGCCAGCAATTTAGGGTCCGGGTCCTATTCATAGTCAGTCCATCATTTCCCCCCTTAGTCCATAAGAGCCACCCCTTTCAACCGATGGACTCGCTCCATTTCCTGTTGTACTCTTTGTCTATCGCTCTGTCCATCGATCTCAATGATCAGCCCCCGGTAGCGGGTCCTATCAATAGCTCATCATTTTCCCTCTTAGAGAGAGCCACTCCTGTTAAGCGATGGAATCGCTCCATTTCCCGTTGTGCTCTTTGTCTATCGCTATGTCCATCAATCTCAATAATTCTAATCGGTGCAATCACTTAATTCACCAGAGGGAACCAAATCGAATGGGAAAGCTTTTGAAGTTCACCATGTCAACTGACGCAACCCTCGTTTGCCAAAAAAACTTGGTTTCTCTCAGTCGAGCTCGAACCATTCGTCAGTTGCAATTGGACGTATTTCTAGCAAACAGACCTATGTGGAGGTGAGAAATATGGGGTGTGCTCTAGAAAACTGCATATGAAGCAATGTGGTCAGTGGGCGTGATTCCTTTTGAAGAATTGGAAAAGCGGGATATTACATTCTATCAAAGAGACCTATGTAGCAACTGAATGCGAGATTCATGAGCCGCGGGCATGGCAAGAGAGCCTTGTGGACAGGGCTCATGAGTTAAAGACTCCCTCCAACGACCTCCCCGTCGTGCGGCGGCTCTCGTTCGTTGCCGCTGACGTCACTGGCGCTTTATTATTCTCATTCACTCTTACGCAAAGAGAACTAACGAGCACACCCCATATTTCTCACTTGCACATAGGTCTGTTTGGTAGAAATACGTCCAATTGTTCTGCGTGAAATTTTCAATGGAGAAACAAGTTTTGTACTACTCAATTTCTTACCGCAATAGAAGAGCGACAAGCAAAACTGCGAATCAGGTGACAAGTTGAAGTATGGGACGAGCCAGTATTGCATCACGCTTTAGGTCGTCTCCGCGTTATGGACGCTGAGCCAGTCGAGCATTCAACCATTGCAACCTGTAACGCCAGCCCCAACCGCAAACGTCAACCCATTGCACATCAAACCACTCGACCTGAGTGCAGGGCAATGACGTTAGTCGCGTAAAAATGTCTGTACACCGTTCTAAAAAATCTAGGAGTCAAATCCGTTGCCGAGGTTCATATGACGCAGGCAATCTGCAAACCGCAGGTGAAGAGTTAAAAAATTATACAATTTAGAAATTAAGGAACAAGATTAGAGAACTGATAATTTTGACTCTAATATGAATAGACACCTTCTTCTCTGTAAAAATATGGTAATAAAATACAAACTTAGGGGAGGATGAGCTGTGGTCTTTCTTAATTGTGTTTAAATTAGTCAGGCAACTGAACTAACTCCGTGGCGATGCGTAAAGTATCGCAAAAAATGAAGGCGCTCCGAGCCGACATACAAAGCTCCCAAAAACCTCGAGTGATATGAATGCGAAGTTAAAGTATCACCAAAAAAGCCTATAAGAAGAGAAGATTCCACTCCTTGCCGGTGTAAGGAGCATAGATTCTACTCCGCATACGTAGCGCCCAAAAACCTCGAGTGATATGAATGCGATTTGAAAGTAGCACCAAAAAAGCCCATAAAACTTCGCATAAAGTGTAGATTGTGATCCGTAATGGTGTAAGGCACGCCATAAGAAGCATAGATTCTACTCCGCATTCATATCACTCGGGGTTTTTGGACGCCTGGTAGACTCTAGAGCAGAATTTCATTCAAAAATTGTTAACAGAGTGGATGACAAGAGTCTGGTTGTGGCCATAGAGCCGAAATCAAGTCCCACAATTTGCCCACACTCAACTCTTGAAATTAGAGCGAAATCTCGACTATCCACGATGATAGAGAAGGGATGCACTGTTGTCCTTTCATGGCATAGCAAATGGATTTTTCATGACTTCTTCAGCATTCGGCTGCAAGATTTCGACTGATCATCGCGATCTATTTCATTTGTTTTGCATTTTATGGACATTTTCTTTCGAGCAGCTAAATAAACTTGCCATCCCTTTTTTGCAGGGGTATTTGCCGGTGGCAGGACTTCTCGTTCTGCTGGTCGCACTATCTGAAGCCCAATACAACCAAGGGTAAGTTTTTAGCGCTTTTCTTTTCTGTAAGTTACTTTACAACAATGGAACTTTCCCTAAGTTACGTAACGCTTTAGGGCGGGAGAAGGGCGGTTGAGAAGAGCGTTACTCCATTTCGTTTTTACGTGCTAATGGATAGGGACCTACGTCACAAAAGCGTTACAAGCAGGGGAAGGGGGGTACAAAATCCAGGGAAAAAGCGTAATCCGTCAAAAAAAAAAGAAAAATCCATATCAGAGACAATATATTCCATATAGAGACTAAGTACCTCAGCAGTGAAATTGTATGAGGCAAAAGTTATAGGTTTGTAGATAACCGCTATCTTCGCCCAATGATGATTGCTGAGTAACTTGCTTAGGATAAAATTTGTCAGATCGACGGCTAAAGTGTGAAATCACGTATATCCGTTTGCGACACAGCAGACTACCCGTCATACTTTAATTTTGGAAACCTAGTCAGCGTAATTTATTAAAAACTTCCTTGATCTCTCTACCCTATCAGCAGAACCTTCCGTGTAAACAAACCATTAAGTTGGCTTGTTTCTCCTTGAAAAATAAATTAGGAGCGGAAATTTTGAAACGACGCATCGAGGAAACGCGGTTTCGCAGTATTGCCAACGAAATGATGACTAAACTCTTCACTAGGAGAGTTGTTTAAAATTTGGTTAGGCTTGCAAAATCAATGTCTCAAATTTTTGGTCATTAGTTATGCTGGGGCGAATCTGACGGCTGACTACCAAAAGTAAATTTTAATCAGAGACAAGAGACCCTCCTCTGGCCTCCTGGCGACAGGTGGAAGCTTTTACTTTCGGGGTTTCAACAATTCCTTATGGACAATTATTAGGGAGCAACAGTCATCACCCTATTTTCGGCTGTTGACTTACCTACATGGTCGATGATGAGCTTCGGATGACGTCATGAGCCAAACAACTTTCCCAAACGTCGGCCATTTTCGGCTTGTTTGCGAAACGAAACTGCCAAGACGTTGTTGAACATCAACCATGTAGGTAAGTCAACAGGAGAATGCTCAAGTCCCGAAAGTAAAAGCTTCCACCATGGCCAAGATACTAGTGGAGGGTCTCTTGTCTCTGATTTTAATTAAAAAAAAAAAAGAAAAAAATAGGGAGGATACTAGGGCGACGTCTTGAAAATAAAATTACTCCAATCTAAACTAGCTAGATAATTTTCAACCCCTCCAATGGCCGGAACGTTAAACAGTTTCCGGATCTGGAGGAGATCCGGATTTTTGAGTCCTTCAATCATAGGATGCGTTTGATGACCTTGCTCAGCCTTGAGTGTGGCGTGGCGTGGCGTGAATTGCGATAGATCGATTTTTATGCCATTTAAACCTATGGTAAAGAATCGATTATTAAGGTGTTCGCTGCGAACACCCTAGTTATCGATCCTTTTCCATAGGTTTAAATGGCATAAAAATCGATCTATCGCAAAGCACGCCACGCCACTGGTCACGTCCTCCATTTTTCCATGTAGAGATACAGATAACTCCAGCAACCTTCGCAAGGGGAAATAAAAAAGATAAGGTGAAATGTCATAAAATAGAAAAACCTCTTCCGCTTAAGGCACGTGAGGTAATTAAACATTTACCGGTTAATAGGTATAACGGCGCAACTTTTATGACGATCGCGCACATAGCTTTGAAACTTCGATAAAAATGCTTTGTTTTTCCGCTAGAGCGCCTACGATAAAGCTGATTTTTCAATGAAAGTTGGCACCACCGATTGTGCATACCTTAGCGTCGTACTCAGCACACGTACATACAATAACAAGTGGACAGCACTTGCGCAGTGTTGTCTTTTGAGGAGTCTCTATTTTTTGGAAGGCAATTTAGTGCGGAATCCATGGAAAAGAAATAGTCTCAAAATTACTTGGATTTCAATCAGAAAAATTGTGTGTATTACTTCAGGACCATACTTTTTAGGTGTGTCGTTCGGTCGAATGAAAGTTTTTTTTTTTCTTTTGCAATTTATTTGGCTTCCATTCCTTTTATCTACTTGGTTAGGAATCAACAGCCATTTACTGAAGTATTTGAATGGTACTTGGGAATCGGCACATCCGTGCTCCAGTTTTTTCAAATTTTCAGGGAATACATAATCCCTAAAAATTTGGCACCACACTACCAAGTAGAATCTATTTCAGCAAATCTACTCGTCAGTTCCATGAAAATGTAACGCCGCAACTGCGGGATTCGAACCCAAGACTTATTTACCTAGGAATGAAAGTTCAGATCTGACGGAAAAAAGCTTCCTTGTAGTATTGCAATTTTGCTAGTCGTCACTTTGTCACAACTATGAGAACTTCATCATCGCCCCTTTCTCAACTTGCTGTTCACAGCGTTTCAAAGAGTTACAATTGTCGAAAAATAATAGTAGAAATTACTCCTGATTTGTATACGTGTAGACAAAATGGAGCGTTAATCTAAAGAAATCGGGGATCGTCGCGTTATGCACCCTGTAAAAGTTGAGGGATATTTTTTCCGTTTGAGGAGGCTTGTAACTTACCTATTCTAAGCTTATAGTTGGCATCGATCATTAAACTGAACGGTAACTGACGTTGATAAAACGTAAAGGCACTGGATCACTAATAATGAAATTAACTCTTCGCCAAAAGCACGATTTTCATCAGTTCATTATCATGTAATAAGGTTCAAATCGAGGACCCAAATTCTGAAATTAGAATATACTGACGTTAGGTAATTCTTTGCATTCTACTGACTTCAACTGGAGTGAAAATCGAGTCTAGAGTTTTTGACACTCTACAAAAAAAAAAAGAGGTCAACATGTAAATTTAAAAGTGGCCCATGAAACAACTGGTAGTGTTTTCGAAAAATGGAATTTGCTCTCTTGTATTTGTGGAAATCCTGCGTTCATTTTATCCTAAATAGAAGCATTTATTTTAAAATTTTCAACACGCCTTAATTTGGTCAACTCTTAGCCTTAATGAGGAAGTATAAATCGCCGAAGTCCTCTCCTTAAGGGTTATGCCATAAAAATGTTTTCACAATTCCTCTTCCCAGATCACATCAGATTTTTCGAAAAAGTAGAAACCTACGTAAAAAAAAAAACCTTTTCCTAGAGCTCCTCCCGGTCCCAGCCCCATCACCAATAGCTTGACATCGTAATAATACACGAGAATCGACTTTCTATGCACCTCATTAGTCATATATATGATGAAGAAATAGTGTCCAATAGGAAATTAGTAAAATTATCCTCACATAACTACCAAAAAATTTAGTAAAGATTGGCAGCAATGTTGGAAGAATTCCCAGTGGCAGCATGGCCCCTTCCAAGCAGGGCCGTCATCCCTCACCTAAAAATCGCATTTACTCACAATGCTTCTGGGGATATCCCATAATTCTATGAAAAAACAGCAACGCCACCGCGGATAGTGGACACTGGACAGGCATGGCTCGCTCGTTCGATGAACCCAACGTGGGAAATGACGTCACCGTTGGCCAATTAGCAGTTGACCAGCGGCGGCGAGTCCGTGATGGACTGGTCGGACACCGGCCGCCGAGGCTCTATTAACAATACACTCTCGCAGATTAATCCACTTATTCAATTTATCCCCCTGAAACAGCTTAGGGACAGAAGGGGAGGGGAGGGGATGTTTTGCAGAGAGCGAGCGCGAATAAATTAAGTTTGCGCCGGCAGGGACGAACGTGTTTAAGGGCGGGGATTTTATTCGTAGCTGTGTTTGGAGACAAAATATGCTTGACTCGATTTGAGCAGTCTGTTCTTGAACTTGGAATTAGCATCAATTTGGGCCAAAAAATGACATCATCCATGATTCTTCCGATTAACATGATTAACACATAAACTTAGCAAACGCTTGTTAATCGTCAAAGTGTTAATTTTCGAACTCAGTTTTTTGCATAATGAGTTAACGCGACGCATGCGTGATTTTGATTCAAGCATAATTAACTGTTATTTTTGTTTGGAGGGGGAAGGCGGGGAGGGGGCTTCCACTCCTTTTATTTTTAGGAGTCTACTTTTCTGTTATGCTTTGTAATTGATTGAACACTCTCATATGCTTTCTGCGAAGAATAGCAAATTTTTTACCTCTTCTGAGCTCAGTTTGGATATAGTATCAGGGCCTGCAGGGCAACAAAATGTATAGATGGTTAAACTACGGAGACATACACCTCTATTATCTTTTCAAAATGTCCACATGGCAACAAAGTCCAACGGGTTAATCCCCAAAATAATTGTGGTACTACCTCAAATTGTTGGATGATATGGACATTGCCAATTAATTGTGGCAGTACCGCAACATTTGGGTTAGTAACCCACTTTATTGCGGGTAATAGAAGCGCCTTCTATCATTTGGGTAGGCAAAAGGAGCTCCCAAGAATTGCGATTGTGGTATGTACTTGAGGAGGATGTACCTTCACGACTGAAAGAGACTACCATCAAACGTAAAAAAATACTCGAGCGAAGTTGACGACCTTTTTTGTCAACAAATATTCAGTCGGAAAGGTGATGCAGGGTCTGGTCTTCCCATTGACACAACAACTGAGTTGCGGAGAGCATCAACGAAGACGTGCTTAAGTAATTTGAAGTTAGGATTTTTGATCCTGACGACCTTTTAATCGGCAAATATGTCCTTTTGTTAATCAGCATATGCAAAGCAATACAAATTCACTTGGTACATTTTAATTTTTAAAAGTGGCGATACTAATATATGTTAGGTGAAAAAACTTCATTGCGCATTATAGCTAATGCCAACTTGAGACAATTCAATTCGGACGAGATCGAAAGTTCGTGGAGAAAGTTCCCAAAGACTTCGCGAGACTGAAAATTGAGAGTACGTGAGATTAGGTCGTGGTGTCTGCTCAAAAGCCGCGCTAATTAATCCTAGCGTGCGATTTAAATCTTCTGAGCGGATGAAGGATATTGATTTCATGAAAATCTGAGACTATTCCGATGTGGTTTTCAAGAACAATTCAAATGACTACATGGTCAAAAAAAAAAAAAAATACCG